ATAATCTGCGGAGTAACTTAACCCTGGAAGAAACACAAATTCCGTAAGGCTTTGTATTTCCATTTTCTAATAATACAGAGACGTTTTCTCCTAGAATTTTGTCCTTTTTTGCATTGGTTGGGACCCGGAACTAGGAAAGGCGTACAGGAGTGTTTCTATTGGAAACAATTGGGACAGCCACTGTCGAAATAAAATCTACAGACACAACAAACATTACTTGAGATTTTAGGGTAGCAACTGGCAAGACCAGCAGTGTTTTCCATTGAATCAATCGTAAATAAATCCCAGTTGGTTGCATGCGACATATTTTTAAGATTTCAGATATTCCGCTCTTAATAACTCCTGTCTTTAACTTTCTTTTCTGGTGCAAGTGTGTCCTCTTTTGAAGTCTGACATACAATTCGGACATATCACGAATAACACAATAATCTCAATTGATAAACATAGCATTTTACAAGTCACACATATCTCAACGTCATCGATGAAATATAAGCCTAAATGACCATTGAAATGAGTGGGTATATTTATCGTACTTCGGTGACCAATTGATGGAAGAAAGCTACGACCACATGAATCAAAATTCATATGCTTAACTGAAACAGAACCAGTGAAGGCAGTTGCACTGAACGAAAACCGGTAGTAAAAATCAGATGTATTGCGTAATTAAGTAAAAGTCGGTAATGTTGCTATTACTGTAGTTGTTCAAATGTTTTGGTCGACATCTTTTGAAAACATTAAACATGAGAATTAAGATAAAGCCCATTTCATGTTTACTAACACTACATCGTCTCCACACTTTTCATTATTGCTTGTTCGTGAAGAATAATAAACATTGTAGATATACGAAACAGTCATCATGTAAATTTAACTAGGACTCTCAAATTATGGTTAAGCCACAAATACGACACGTGCTTAAGTCCAGTAGGGAATGAAGATTGTTCAACTTGCCACTTAATGATCAGCCTTTGAAGGTTGGCCATTTAGGAAGCGATATCTGGATAACGTTGCCAGCCGCCTCGATTCCTCAGACTGTCTTCTTATACCTTGTATAGTGATAGGTTTCTAATATAAATATAAGCTCCCCATTAGGTTGTTCAATTAATACAATTGATGTGTCGAAACGAAGTATAACAGGAAAAACAGTTGAAAAGTTTTTACAGTCGGAAGCGGGTCTTTCAAGTATGCCAAGACGCAAGACATCCTGGATCTCGTCCTTTTGTTGTATCGGGTCTGACTTTATGTAGCTTTTTGGTCGCCTTGAAGAACATAACTCTTGTTTTTTATAGATATTAGCTAAATAAAACGCGTCAGAGTATTTCTCATGTCTCCATTGGCATTTCTACTGGTAAATATAAAGAAAACGTTTTGTTCAAGATCTTTCTCGCTGTCTCATGTAATACATCAACCGAAAACTTTTGCACACCTTTTAGTCACTTACGTAATCACTGATGTATTTCGAGGTGCACGCATTTTTTCATTTTGTTCCCAGCCATCACGTACATTGGGCTCATAATTGAGGCTACTGTTGCGGCGGATAAATCCCCAAAGTTAGCAGCTCTGTAAGTTTTTGACAGTAATTTTGACCTCATAAATTTCACTGAACCCGTCCTAACGAAAGACTTGTGATCATGCATCCATAACAAATCACTGTTGAATACACCATGTTTAAGTCCCCTCTTAACGATAAGTTTGCCTATACAACTCATTTCTCAAAATCCTAACCATCCTTCAACTCTATTTTCGCCTTTCTTCATTCCTGGATTCTCGTTCGATTGGTTTCAGTAATTTCGATAATAAAAGTCTTATGGACGAAAGTATTATCTAGCCATAAATGTCGTGACATATTTAATCCAATATATTAAATATAATTTCAGTCAGCGAATCTCTTTGATAACACAATATGTGTTAGAAGTCGAACAAAAACGTATTTGGGGGACATAATGCTGCTACTAACTTGTAGCATCTATAGTGTTATTAAGCATCCTGTAGTGTGAATGATTATGTCGAGGTTATAGGGCCTGTCCCGACCTTTAAGCAAATAAGTTAATCTATCCTTCTTGAGTAACTCAAGTGCCTCTTGACCTTGTCTATCATTCATCCACATTCTAGGTAGTTTTTATTCAAATGTGCGTATGCACGCTTAATTCATTTATTAGAGGTCTAGCCAAAATGCTCTAATTTTAGATACTCAGTTATGCCTCATTACATTGAGTTGGCTATTAACCATCTGCGCTTCGCTTCTCTTTGCTTCTCATATTTGTCAGCTCAAACGATTACATGAGATAAATTCAACCGTCAATCCATTCCTTTCTTTTTTTTGGAGCAGTCTCACAGACGATGTTCACTTGAGTAATATGTGCGGAAATTGAATGGAAGATTTATTTCGCAGCGTATTTAGTTCTTCCGAAATTTTTAAGTCAGATCACAGACCGATAAAATGGTAACCATAATTGGTATTCAACAAAGCCACTAAAATCCTCTGACTTAGAATCAGTACTGATTGATAGATTAAGGTCGATACCCAAAAATTAGGGGCAAAATACAGTATAATCAACTATGGTCTCAACTTCTGACTTTCGTAGACTGTTGCTTTATGGAAGTGGTTACCAGGTGGATTGGTTCCACCGAGTTCTCTGAATTAGTTTAAGAATAAGCATGACTTAAACTTAGGATTCATCATAATTTACTAAAATTTCCACTTTGCATGTTAAATGTACCTATGTACCTACATAATGGTATCAGCTACTGTTGTTTCCAAAAGTCCTATAAAATGTAAGTACATTTTGTGTTTGTCAGGTTGTTGACTCACCTATATTTTTATTGGTCAGTTTAATGATGCTCTTCACTCACATTACTCTGCATGATATCTTAGTAAACAAGGAACCTGTGACTAGATAGTGAATGCTAAAGTATATTTGACACCCATAAATTCCCACTAGATGATCTGCATTGATTCAAACACGACACGAACACGTAGATAATCAGTGCAGAGCATTTGAGTCGATCATAGTGTTTTACTCCGGTTAGTCGAGTAGATCATGCTTAACTGAAGGACAAACCTAATGCTTATTACCTAAAATGAATTAGGTAGCCACAAGTCTGATTACCGTACGGAACATATACAGTGGTAACTCACTTATATCTCTCACTGGAGTCTACCTATTGAGCTACATCATTGCAATGGATCAATCACCCTGGCATATTATTATTCTTACTCTTATTATTATCTGTGCATCCGATATGGATTACTTTGATATTGTCTTTAGGTTACGAGCATTACTGGCAGAGATGGATGGTTCCTACCAATTGAACGATGGAATTCATGTAAATTAAAATGGAAAGTGCTAAAATGGGACGAGAGGTGTGTCATTGATTCTGCTACTAGTCTCCCTTCATTTCTGCTATTACAGAGATGTATTAGTACGAATAGATAGAAAAATCAGAGTGTGACCACTGACATATAGACCAGTAGATGACATGACATACGTTGTCTTTCCTTGTTGTTGTGCGTTATTAGCAAATCCCCGGATATTTTGTGAACCGCCTATAGGATGATTTTACTCGGACCCGTTTAAGCTTATTTTGTCCCACAGAAATACTAAAAAATTTTGGACCAGGAAAAGTGAACGAGACTGCAGGAATACATAGTATTCTTATCACATAGTCAGATTTTATGTTCCTATCGAAGTTGAAATGATCCTAGAAGCTCACTTGTAGTCCTTCAAGATATTGACAGGTTCGTGTAGCGAAAGGAGACTACTTATAGCGAGATAACCAAGTTAAATCCCGTTGAGGCCAAAAATCAAAAGACCAGCTGTGATTGGAGGACCAGGTTTATTGATTGGTGAGATCGCGTGATATCGGAAAGCTATTAAGATAGCAATACAACTGCTGATGAAACCACCGAGACAACTGAGCAATGTTAGCAACACGTGGGGCGCGTAAGTAATGGTATTTAGCACAGTTAAAAAAAGAGTAAAATAAGACAATTATTCATACAATTGGGTACAATAATAAATATTTCCATTTCACAAATTGCATTCTCTTCGTAAAAGTATCTCACTACATCAGCCCCTCCCCCTAGGAAAGGTTTACACTTTCGATACGTTGCAGGTTTCTTTCGGGGGAACTGATCGGCCAACGTGCGAATAAAGGACCTAATGGATGACGGACAGGAAATGACCCATGAAGCTCGAGTTGTCACCGAACTGTACCAGCGGTAACGTGACACGTTTGCTGCTCGAGTTGGCGTACCACACCAGCTTGGGTCGTATCCAGAATCTGGTCCATGTTCGGACTAGAAAACGCCGCAGACGTAAGATGGAACTAGAAATGACCATAACGACTAATTTTGAAACTTCACGCATGCCAGATATATTCGTAACCAGATCATCAGCTAAGTGCATTGATAAAAGCGTGGGTGATCTGACCAGCTTTCACCAAGAGTGACTGAAGTCGGCGGTACCAACAAGGCGATGGCCGTAGACGTGGGTTCAGGATAAAACGTTTGAACTGTTTTCTTTATTACTTCGTGACTGTTTGCAGTATATTAAATTTATATGACCTTGAGATCAGGGCGGACTATACGTAGCTAGATTATGACCTATAAATGTGTGTTTTAAGTACATCATTAATTCTCAGGACGTTTAAACTAAAAGTATTAGGATGAGGGCTGCTTGGGAATATTTTACGAAGTTAAAATATGCTCCACTACACGTATATCCCAATAATTAATCATAATACATATTTTTTAGTCTTCTGAATATAATTTGAAAGGATTTGTCAGTTTATTATACAATAATATTAATCGCCGATTCGGGACTTTTGATATTCCGCTTAAGTAAGTATATCCAGACTTTTTTGTTCTATTTTAGCTATGTGATCTGTTTTCGGGAATTTCTTTTACATCAGTTAAGGAACTATGAAAATTCTCTCGATTTTCAGTTCTTGAATTCGAGTTCTGAAGGTCCTGATATCACTGTATTATATAAAATAATTTTCATACTCTCACGTTTGGACGTAGATGCCTTTTGTTTACATAATTCTCAGTTTACTGGCACCTACCCTACATCATGTTACCTTTGTATATTACACTTATTGTCATCAATTCTGCAGCTCATATGCGAGAAAATTCATAGTGGTAAGTTAAACAGTTCTTTAAAGTCGTAATGGTTTGATGGTTAGGTATACCTGTGATTAGCTTCGTTACTGTTCGTTATGCTATTCAAACGATTTATTCGGTTTATGACTTAATTCTTGATTAAAATGAGACAAAATAATGCATAATTCTGGGTAGTAATAGCAATCCATTCCTTGTCTCCTCTTAATTTCTGATCTTCTGAATTCCTTATCACCTTTATCTTTCTTTTTCGAAATTTATTTCACTGAATTATACTTCCTGAGTAATTTCTTCGAACCCTAGTCTTCGTTTCCACCAATACTTCTGCTACATCTACCAATGGAATTTCTGTGCTAATATGGTATGGCAGCTTGAACTAATGTACGTAAGTACGTCGTAACTAACATATGCAATTCAAACTAGGTCGTTCGATAAAAAATTTTTAAAGCCTGATTCTTTCGAAAGCTTTTAAGAACAATTTTCATATCCTTAAAAGTTGCTCTTCGACCTGTTTGCCTGATAAATTTCGGAACTGACTTATATCAGCGATTTGTATTACGACGCAGTGCATATTCGAATTGTAAATTTATGAAACGAAGACATGTGTTTTTTTATTGTCATAGAAGACTAAATTTGCAACAATTATTTTACCGCAAAACTATAATCGTTTTAATGATAAATCATATTTCAAACCAGTAAAGTCGTAGATTTATTCTAGCATTCACACTGCCAAAAGGAGATTCTCCTTCTGCTTCTGTTACTTATTATTTAAGCATTGACAGAATTCTTTTCATTTGACATTAAGCTTGTTACTTTAATGTTTATGTAACAATGTGATATGTTAGTGTAAGGCAGTTTGTTGTTGATACCATTGACTAACAATTTAAAATTAGATTTGATGGAAATTACTTGTTGGAAATATTATTCTCAACCAATTCATTGTACATTATATTTGTTCTAACACCTAAACGTAATGTAGTTTGAAATTTTCTTCGGTCAAATTATTCCCATTAAAATTATGTATTATATTTTGTTGTTGTAGATGCGCATGACCATCATATTCCTCAAACGTGTTATAATTTCAGTAAAAGATATGATTGTATGTGCTACAAATATGCCAGAAATAATGGTAGTTCTTATTTTCAAGGTAATTTATCCTATTTAGATGTTGTTGCACATGCAAACTCTATTAATCAGTGGCGTTTAAAGACTAAAAAACGTCAATATAAAAAGTCTGTCATCAAAAGAAACATTACGTCATCACGTTTGAAAACATCAATCAAACTAATCAATTTCATTAATCACGATTGTGATTTAGAAAAGTAAGTGTATTTTCTTTGTGTATGTATAATTTTTTAATAATTCTTTCTTTGTAACTCTTTAATAGAGAACAAAATGACGATTGTTCACAATTTGAATCATGTATTGCTTGAGTTATGTAGTATCAGTAGAATAATGCTTATTAATTCTAAGTTTCCTTTATTTTTTACCGATTACCTGAAGTGCTTCCTAATCGTCATTATCACATTGATTTTCATCAGATCATTTGTGTTTGTTCTACAAAAAAAGTGCTACACGTTTCCAAATGATTAGTTGGGATATTTCTTCTTTCCAAGATATAGAATATGTGTTCTAAATTCCTATTTATAATGCCTATGTAGCCTTGAAAATTTCCAATACAAGACTAGCTTCGTGGGGTAATTCTTGCAGTTCTAGTTGAGAAGACGTGACCAATAAAGTTCAACCCTGCTGTGTAGGCAGTAACTACCCGAAGACAAATAGATGAGGTCGCGCAAAATCCCAGAGATAAACATGAACAACGTTGGATGGTGGCTCAGTGTTTCAGAGGTTGGGCGTTTGCTCACAAGACTGAAGGTCCTTGGTTCGAATCCTGCGCGTAGTAGGAGTCTCTGATGCGCACTGCCACTGATGAGTCCAATGCCAGGACGAAACGGTCGTCTTTCAGTACTTCCAGGTTTCTAATGTTGGTGTAACAATGATTGATTCATGATTTCAAATGTGGAAAAACAATGATCTCCATAACTATAATTGAATAATATATGTGTTAATTGTCTTATCATGAAGTTATTCTGTCTTTTATTCATTATTAGATGTAACTCTGTTATGATTTTAGTTCTTTTACTTGACTAGTGCTGTGTTTTTTTTAAGCTAAATAGTTTAAAATTTTCTCGTGCCTTTTCTAACTTAAAAAAGATTGTCAAAGCTTGATGTTTACTGTTAATTAGAGAGTAATCCAATAAGGATGAAGCATTTACATTTCAAACCAAACCATTTACATTGCCAAACCAAAACACGGCACAAATCCATGATGGCACTGACAAGTGGGTTGAGTCATGTTAGTAGATGTAGACTACCTACCTGGTTGAGGTCCGCGAGACGATACTAACTGATGGTTGGAAACCTTGTACGACACGGCTCAAAATAATTTGCGATGGCGTAGGTGCATCCACTCTTTGTGTTCTATCTAATTCTAACCTTCTGGATTCCTCATCAAATCTATCTTTCTCCTTCTAAATTTATCTCACTGAATTATACTTTTTGAATCATATATTCGCTCCCTAATTTTCTCCATTACTGTTAATACTTCTACTATCGCTATCACTCTTCGATTAGAACTGACAGTTACGTCTCTGTGCTGATGTGGTAAGGCAACCTGAACTGATGTACTTATGTACAAAGTTCTGCGTTGTATCTGTCTATCTGTCACAAGCTTCATCTTTCTCTCCTCAAGTTTATTTCACTAGATTACGCTGTTTGAATAATATTTTCAATCCTTAATTTTTACCATTACTGCTCCTACTTCTACTACACCTACCACTATGAGATTTGGCTTGACAGTTGTATCTTTCTGTGCTAATATGGGCTGTGGCAACTTGAAATGATGTACGTACGTACGTACAAAGTTCTACGATATAACTGACCAACTGACTGAGCTGTTTTCTACTTTCATAGGAATCATAGAATATATGAAAATGTTCCATAAATTATGTTTCAAATGTTTTTAATGCATTCAAATGATCAGTATATAAATATTTAGTCATTTAAACAAAATAGTTTTTGTTCAATACTTTTTCCTCTTTTTTTGTTTTAGTGAACACAATCAATCACCTATTGAACATAAACCTCCTCCTCCTCCTCCTCCTCACGGTCTTTCTTCGCCTTCTTTTGATTGTTCAAAGTCTACATCAATCCCTCATGAACACGTTTTATCATTGATGCATTTCAACTATTCACATCTAGATTTATTACAAATGTATATCACAAAGTATATGACTAATAAACTACCCCAACATTGTACATATCTTCATTTATTGAATATTCTATGTAAATATATCAATCTAATTCAATTTATTGTACATATGAATGAAGAATATTCAATTCAATATAGTGATGTATTCACTATGTTCAATAAGAATATTTTAACCAAACTAGAAAGTATCATCATTTGGATTGATGAAAAATTTACTACAACTGAGTAAGTAAACAAACAAGCAAGCTAAAATGATATAATGTTTTACTTTCATTAATCATAGATTGTGTTGGGGACGTTAGATCCCGACATGGCCAATGAGAGTAGAAGATATTCCTCGGTTACTGGTTTTCGATCATATGTGTCTTCGAAGCATTGCTCGTATATCCTGGGACACCCGAGTGAGCAACGCTGTTATTATGAAACGTGTGCTAGGTAAGAATGGCAGATCAATAGATGAAGTATTGAAACTTCATGAGTTGAGGTGGTTGGGACATGTGTTGCGTATGCCTAACCACCGACTGCCTCGAAGAGCTTTATTTTGTAGTGTAGGAATAGGTTGGAAGAAAGCTAGGGGCGGACAAACCAAAACATGGCACGAATCCATGAAGTCATTGACTAGTGGACTTAGCCATGTCGGTAATTGTCGACTTCCTGGTTGGGGTCCGCGAGATGATAATAATCGATGGTTAGAGACCTTGAATTACATGGCTCAAAATCGTTCGCAATGGCGCTGTTGCATTTATTCTTTGTGTTCTCTCAAATCCTAATCTTCTGGATTCTTCAACAACTCTAGTTTTGTTTTTCTAAACTTTTCTCACTGAATCATACTTCTTGAGTAGTATCTTCTAATCCTAACCTCTCTGATTACTTCTAATACCCTTACTACCTCTACTACTATTGGATTTGAATTGACAATTACTTCTCTGTGCTGATGTGGTATGGCGACATGAACTGATGTACTTACGTACGAAGTTCTACGTTGCATCTGACTGACTGACTGACTGTTAGATCCCTAGAACTCACTTGATAAAGGCCTTAATTTTGGATATTATTCATGGGCTGATCAGTTGACCTTGAGATCACATTTCCCACCAGGAAAAGTCTTGGCTGTGATTGGTTGATGTATTGTTTTAGTATGCTATTTTTGTGACTCTCCCATGGACGTTTCTATGCTGTATAAATAAACGCGATTTGTGTGCTTGATTTGATTGTGCTTACACTGGGTGTTTGTAGAATACACTTTCTACAATATATCAAGACTTTTTGGTTAGTTCCTCTGGGTCAACGGATCAGAGTAGCCTTCCCGGACACTGGTTCATTGTCTCATTCTCGTTAATCGACTAATGTGAACTTGTAATAGTTTCAAGCATATCAAGTGACGAGCATAATAGATTGTAATATTACTAATGAAATCGACAGAGTGACACAGGTACATCCGTTTTATCAAATTATAAACTTCTGAATTCCTCATTACTGTATTTTCTTTCTCTCCCCTTTTTTTCAACTGATGCTTCTGGGTTATACTTCTTGAATGATATCTTCGACCACTAATCTTTTTGATTACTGTTAATACTACCACTATTTCTGCTAATATGGGATTTGAATTGTGTTACTCATGCACGTAAACACGCCAATTTCATATACCTGAACTAGTACGAGTTTACTTCAGTCGGAAAATGAGAGCGAGGATCTAGGATCTGGCAATACGACAGGCTATTCTAATCCGAGTGTCCCAACCCTCCATTGAGTAGAAGAAGAAGAAGAAGACTTGATATGAAGTAGAACATGTATTCTACAAGCATCGAGGAAAATGCGCGGTCCGAGTGCAGAAGAGGCTAAGGATCCAGATCGTAAAACGTTACAGATAATGCATATTTATGCAGTTAGATCGAATAGGAAACATCCCTGAAGTATGTGACATTGAGAGTTAGGACGTTCAAAAAGAATTAACCAATAGGAATTGATCAATAGAATTAGACTTACAAATAATTCCCTTGGGATATTGGATGAATATCTTGACAAATTGACCATTCGATCTTTTTTCAATTAGAGTTATGGAGAATAGTGTTTTTACACATTGATATAATCAATCAATCATTGTTAGACCACCGTTAGAAACCTGCAAACACTAGACAGCTGTCTCGTCTTAGTATGGGACTCATCAGCAGTGTGCATCTACGACCCCCTACCAGTCTATTACAACGTAGAACTTCGTACATGAGTTCGTAAGTTCAGGTTTCCATACCGCATCAGCACAGAGACGCAGTTGTCAGTTCATAATGGTAGAAATAGTAGAAGTATTAGCAGTAATGAAGAAGATTAGGTTTCGAAGATATGATTTGAGAAGTATAATTCAGTGAGATGAATTTAGAAAGAGAAAGATGGGGGTGATGAGGAATTCAAAGGGTTAGAATTTGAGAGAATACAATGAATGGATGCACCGGCGCGATTGCAAAAGATTTTGAGCCATGTCGTTCAAGGTCTCTAACCATCGGTTACTTTCTTCTCGCGGACCTCAACCCCCTCTTCTCACAAGAGTATAATTTCCTCACGAAGTTAGTCACTAGTGAGCATATAACTAAATTGGTCAGAACTATACAATAACGCTATTGGATGCCGGCCCAGCGCTCCAGAGGTTAGGCGTTCGCGCACAAGACCGGAGGTTGTGGGTTCGAATCCTGCAAGGTGTAGGAGTCTTGGATGCGCATCGCTGGTGATTACCATACCAGGACGAAACGGCCGTCTTCCAATGCTTCCAGGTTTCTAATGGTGGTCTAACAATGTTTGAATTCGATCTTAGTGTGCTAATTTAGTATGGCAACTTAAACTGATGTACGTACGTACGTACGTACGAAGTTCTGCATTGTAGCTGGCTGACTGGATTAAATAGTGATTTTTAACAAATTTGAGAAAGTTAGAACTTGATATATATATATATATATACATTAAAATAACCTTTTCCTGACGTTTTGTTAAATAGGGAAAATGTCTCTATCAGTGTATACACAAGAAGTTCTTCGTGAATCCAGTGCATACATTTCATGATATTTGTATTCATTTGTTACAAGAGAAAGCGTGTTAGATATCTGGCAAGTCGAGCCAGCAAAATATGCTCAGACAATACTATGAATAAAAAAAAATGCTGTAGCTTATCAGTCCCCATAAAAATGTTTGGTGAAAGTCAGTCAGTCAGTCAGTTGCAACGTAGAACTTCGTACGTAAGTACATCAGTTCATGTCGCCATACCACATCAGCACAGAGATATAATTGTCAATTCAAATCCAATAGTAGAAGAGGTAGTAAAGGTACTAGAAGTAATCGGAGAGGTTAGGATTAGAAGATATTATTCAAGAAGTATGATTCAATGAGAAAAGTTTAGAAAGTCAAAACTAGAGGTGTTGAAGAATCCAGAAGATTAGGATTTGAGAGAACATAAAGAATAAATGCACCGGCGCCATTGCGAACGATTTTGAGCCATGTAATTCAAGGTCTCTAACCATCGATTATTATCATCTCGCGGACCCTAACCAGGTAGTCGACAATTACCGACATGGCTCAGTCCACTCGTCAATGACTTCATGGATTTATGCCATGTTTTGGTCTGGCCGACCCTAGCTTTCTTCCAACCTATTCCTACACTACAAAACAAAGCTCGACGAAGCAGTCGGTGGTTCGGCATACGCAACACGTCCCAACCACCTCAACTGGTGAAGTTTCATTACTTCATCTATTGATCTGCCATTCTTACCTAGCACACGTTCCCTAATAACAGCGTTGCTCACTCGCTTGTCCGACGATATACGAGCAATGCTTCGAAGACACCTATGATCGAAAACCAATAACCGACGAGTATCTTCTACTCTCATTGGCCATGTTTCACAGCCATAAAGTAAGACGGAGCAAACCACTGCACAGTACACTCGTCCTTTAGTCAGCAAACGGATATCTCGCCTTCGCCATAAGTGACGCAGGTTGGCAAAAGCCAATCGAGCCTTCTGTATCCGTGCCGAGATTTCGTCAGTCACCAGGCCATCGGCACTGATGAGACTCCCAAGATAAGTGAAGCGGTCTACACGTTCGACCACTTCACTCCCTATCACTAGTTCAGGTGCCGATGCAACCCAATCTTGAAGCAACATTTTGCATTTCGAGGGGGAAAACCGCATCCCGAACATGCTTGCATTGTTGCTTAGGGTAGTCAGAAGACTCTGCATTTTGTCAGCGTCTTCACCAAGTAGGACTATGTCATCGGCATATTCTAAGTCAATAAGCGAGCCACCTGGTATAAGGTCTACTCCAGAAAATTCAGACGAGGATAATGTTATGTCTAGGAGCATGTCTATGTAATGTACATACAATTAACCATTTTTGGCTAGGTAAAGTAAACATTATTGTATTTCACAGTAAAGTAACAAAAAATAAGTTGTACCATTGATAGAAGCTATTTTAAACAGACAACAGATCTGAATAAAGGATCATTATGGACTGGCTGCTTAATCCTCGAAGTATTTTAATTTCAGTCAATAATTACCAGTTTGAATGCTGATAGAGTAAATATTCTCGCTTATAAGCTGTGCTTGTGATCGCATCAAGTTTAAATTATTCGTTGTCAGTCACTGACTACTGTGAGACTACATGTCCTTACGTTACTCCAGCGCCTTATGTACTAGACGTTTAAGTCGTTAAGGCTCGAGAAGTGCCCACCTCCCCTAAATCTAACGAGCTTAATTTTAACTCTAGGAGGATGTCTACAACAAAGTTAAACAAGAATGGAGAGAGTGGACAGCCCTGACGGACACCGCTTGATGTAGAGAATTCAGATGACAGTTCGCCATATGCTCTCACTCGACTAGTGGTGTTCGAGTAGAGAGCTTGTATGAGGTTAATGTACTTATTAGGTACACCTTTCAATGACAGACACTGCCACAGAACCTCACGATCCAAAGAGTCAAATGCCGCCCTAAGGTCCAGGAAAACAACTATTGTAGGACGCCTAAATGTGTGTCTATGTTCTAGGACCTGTCTGAGTGTGAAGACGTGGTCTATACAGCCACGTCCAGGTCGAAAACCAGCCTGGTTTTGTCGAGTCTGCTCTTCACAAGCTTTCGTTAAGCGTCGAAGTATTATTGAGGCCAATATTTTAAATACTATATTACTTACTTACTTACTTTACTTACGCCTGTTATCCCCAATGGAGCATAGGCCGCCCACCAGTTTTCTCC